ACCTCTGGCTCATAGATAACATGATCTCATATGTAAAAATCCTAAAAATCCCAATAACACCAGAATATGTCTCTTAGAGAATATGTTGCAAGATATAAAATCAATAGAAATCAGTTCATATCTATAAATGAATTATGAACAATCTGAAAAGGAAATTAAGAAAGTTATTCCACTTACAAAAACACAAATTTAACCAAGGAGGTGAAAAACATGTACACTGAAAACTACAAAACATTACTAAAAGAAATTAAAGAAGACAGAAAACTTATTAAGATGTCAGTACTGCTCAAATTGATCTAGAGATTCAAAATCCCGATGGCTTCTTTGCAGAAATAAGAAAATCCATTCTAAAATTCAAATGGAATGTCAAAAGCTCTTGAATAGCCAAAAAAAAATCTTAAAGAACAAAGTTGGAGACTTTATACTTCCTGGTATCAAAACTTACTACAAAGCTACAGTAATCAAAACAATGGTAGTTCTCGCACATAGACCAATGCAATAGGATAGAGAACCCAGAAATAAACTTTTGTATATATAATCAGATTAAGTGTGCCAAGATCATTCAATGAGGAAAGAACAGTCTTTTCAATAAATGGTGCTGGGTAGCTGGATAACCATATGCAGAGAATGAAGCTGGATCCTTATTTTAACCATATACAAAAATTAACTGAAAATAACTGAAATAAGCTCTTAGAAGAAAATATAGGGAAGAAGCTTCATAATATTGGATTGGCAATCATTTTTTCGCTAGGACACTAAAAGTACAGTTAAAAAATTACATAAAAGCTTTTCTTCATCAAAGGACACTACCAACAGTGAAAAGGCAACCCCCAGATTGGAAGAAATTATTTGCAAATCATATATCTGATAAAGGATTAATATCCAAAATATAGAGAACTGCAACTCAACAATACAACAGAAAGCCTAGACTAGACATTTCTCCAAAGACATATAAATGGACAGTACACACAAGAAAAGATGTTTGACATCACTAACAGGGAAATGCAAATTAAAACCACAATGAGATACCACGTCACATCCACTAGGATAGCGATTATTTTTTTAAATAAAATTAACACGTGGGTGGAAAAATTGGAACCCTTGTGCACTGTAGATGGGAATGTAAAATGGCACAGCTACTATAGAAAACAGTATGGCAGTTTCTCAAAGTATTGGACATAGAATTACCATATGATCCAGCAATTCCACTTGTGGACTAATGTTCATAGTAGCATCACAGTGGTCAAAAGGTGCACACAACTGATATGTCCATTGATGGATGGATGGATGAACAAAATGTTGTGAGTACTTGCAATGGAATATTATTCAGCCTTCCAAAGGAATGAAATTCTATACATGCTACAATATAAATGAACCTTGAAAACGTTAGCTGAAATAAGCCAAGCACATGATAATTACAGGCCAATATCCCTGCTGCACATAGATGCAAAAACTCTCAACAAGATTTTCACTAGCCAGATTCAATAATATATTAAAAGAATCATACACCATGAGCAAATGGAATTTACCCAAGGGCTGCAAAGATGATTCAACATCCACAAAATGATCAGTGTGATACACCACATTAACAAAATGAAGGATAAAAATCATACCTCAATAGATGTAGAAAAAGCATCTGACAAAATTCAGTATCCAGTCATGATAAAAACTCTTAAAAGTGGGTATAGAGGGAATGTACCTCAGCATAGTAAAGGCCATAGATGACAAGTCCACAGCTAACATCATACTCAATGGTAAAAAGCTGAAAGCCTTTCTTCTAAGATCAGAAACAGGAGAAGGATTCCCACTCTCCCCATCTTTATTTAACATAGTGTCAGAAGTCCTAGCTAGAACAAGTAGATAATAAAAGTGTCCAAATTAAAAGGAAATAAAACTGTCATGTTTTGCAGATGACATGCTATTATTATGAATAGAAAGCCCTAAAGACTCTATAAAAAGAAACTGTTACAATAAACAAATTCAGTAAGTTGCAGGATACAAAATCAATATGCAAAAACTAGCACCAAACTGTCAGAAAGAGAAATGAAGAAAACAATCCCACATACAATTGCATCAAAATGAAAAATATACCTAGGACTAAATTTAACCAAGGAGGTGATGCAAGAATTATATACTGAAAACTAGGAGACATTTATGAAGGAAATTGAAGACACAAATGGAAATACAGCCTGTGCTCATGGATTGGAAGAATCAATATTGATAAAACATCCATATTGCCCAAAGCAATATACAGATTAAATACAATCCCAATCAAAATTCCAATGGCATTTTTCACAAAAATTGAACAATCCTAAAATTTGTATGGAACAAAAAATATATAGCCAAGAAATCTTGAGGAAGAAAAAAGCTAGAGACCTCATGCTCCCTAATTTCAAACTATATTAAAAAACTATAGTAATCAAAACCATACAGTATTAGCATAAAAACAGACATCGATCAATAGAACAAAATAGATACCCAGAATTAAACTCATGTATGCATGGTCAATTAATTTACTACAAGGGAGCTAAGAATATACCATGAGGAAGGGACAGTCCCTTCAATAAATGAGGTTGGGAAAACTGGACAGTCACATACAAAAGAATGAAAATTAACCACTATCTTACACCTTACACAAAAATTAATTCAAAATGGTCTAGGGGCACCTGGGTGGCTCCATGGGTTAAGCATCTGACTCTTGATTTCAGCTCAGGTCACAATCTCAGGGTCTTGAAATTGAGCCCCGTGTCAGAATCTCTGTGCTGGGCATAGATCCTGCTAAAGATTCTCTCTCTCTCTCTCTCTCTCTCTCTCTCTC